GCACGGGCTAGAGAAGAGATGGAGTGATGTGGTACAGGAGGACGTGGAGCTGAGTGGACTTGCCGATGACTGGTACCAGCGGTGTCAAGATCGGCCTCTGTGGAGGAGGCTCGTGAAGGACGCTACTGGGCAGTTGGAGGCAGTCGCCCTCCAACAACAACGGAGGGCGGAGGAGCGACGCTCACAACAACGAGCGAAGTGCCGGGTGGCTAAAGCACAGCAGGTTGGCACAGTAGAGGGCACAGGTGGTGCATCAGCCAGTCATCTCGGTCATCTCAGTCAGTCGACCCGTGGCACCTGGGTCTGCCCCGTGACCTCCTGTCAGCGGGCATTCGACACTTCACGTGGCCTCAAGGTGCACATGGCCTGGCACAAGCGTCGTGGTGACATCACCGCCACTTAGTGGCGAATGGCGGTTGTTGTTGTGCGTGAGTCGATGTGTGTGTGTGTGGAAATTGATGTGTGTGTCAGTGGTGTAGCGGTAAGTGCGCTGCACCACGAACCCAGCGACCCGAGTTCGATTCCCGCTCATGGCCAACACTGGTGACAATTATCTGAACCCTTCCTGTGCCTCCCCTACGGCGAATCAGCTTCAAATGAGAACCTGCTGCGATGCGTCATAAACGTCGCCAGCGGGGAGTACCAAAAATATTTTTTGTTACACTATGTTGTATTCTCCTAAACACGTAAAATGTATACACAAATACTTTATACATACATTTCATTTTTCTGTATTTGTGTATGTATATGTTATGTTTTTAAGTGGAGTTTCGAAATATATCTTTTGCCCGGGCAACGCCGGGTACTTCCCGCTAGTATTAGTATTAAATAATAGAGATATCATCTTGCCCTGTCAGTGGGGTTGTTATTTTTTTTTAAACCAAGGCGAATACATTCTGATTTTGGGAAATTGTCTTTTTACGAAACTTTTTAAAACTCATGACAAATAATAGAAACAGGAAGAGCATTTCAAATTATCTAGGATTAGCATTGTGAAAATGTACAGTCAGTTTTTTCAACCAAAGTCAAAGGTAATGTGTTGGACATAGCTCATGATCAACACAATAGGTCTCTGAATCCTTGCGGTCAGAATGATGTGTTGTTACTTGATTCTGTACGATGTAAATTCCTGAAGTGAGTGCAGTGACTGACTCGGAGACCGACGAATCAAGTTTTTGATAATGCCGATTGTACCTTCAATGCCACGTCACAAGGTGAATAAATTCCCGATTGGAACTCATTGCCACAAAGTGGTCAAATCATCCCATGTTAGACCAACTACTGCAAAATAACTTGTCAGGCGTCCTTGTGTTCCTCTTTTCAAAGTCACGGTTTGCCAGAATTTTATAACAAATCCAGCATTTTAAAATAGCTTGCAATTGAATTGCAGCACTGTTTATATTTCAACAAACCTTGATTTGTTCAAAGATGGGACGTGGCAGTCAACTCCTGTGCTGCTTGTAGTATTTTCTCTTGCAGTGTGTGCTTTAGTTATTGACAGTTTTTTTGTCAAAGATGGCTTGGCCTTAACCCTGCTCTGTGGCCATAATCCATGGTTCCTTATTCCAGAGCTATTTAATTAAATGGCCTGAAATCAAATTTGTTTTTCTGTCCATTAACATCTCTCCATTCCACTTCGCTATTTACCGCTTATCAGCATCTGCGCTCTGCATCCATTATTTGCTGGGCTTTCGATAAATATTCCTCCACCACCCCTGTTCTTAGTACAATAAAGCATTGCTTCCTGCATAATTTAAAAAGGGTTGTTTACATGAGATGTTGCTTTGAATCGTTTTTGCCAGTTATGTTTAGCAACAGACTCTCTCAATCAACCACACACACCCTTCACTACACTTGATGTGTGTCGTACAGAAGATATGCTCTCCCTGAGTCAATTACTGGGCTGTGGGGGGCTAGTGGAAGCTACGGGCAGGGTTGAGCGCTTCGTTAAGATGCAACCGCAGTGCAACGCTCGTCTGGAGACTGCCCAGAACCGCACGTTTTGTTCCACACAGATGTAGGTTAGCATACCTCGCTGCACCCTTGATATTTGCCACTTGAAGCCACCAGTACTTTTAATTATAAGTTTATTCGCTCACTGAACCCAACCCTTCACCCTCCCGGGTAATCCAAATGCACGTTCTCTATCCCTGGATGTCATCATCTCGCAGTGTGGCCCTGCAGGAGATACACTTGAAATGAATGAGTGAACACAAATGTATAGACGTGTGTAAATAATCTGAATAATGCCCTTTATATGTGTCATTAGCTATGTTTTTTCCTGAGTATAAACAGGAATGTTAATAATTATGGTGGCACTTATTTTCAGCCTCTGCTTTGCACTTAGACATTCTAACAGTGCTTCAAACCTTGAGTGTCAAAAGCATTGCTATCTTCCAAATAAAGCAAGGTAATTAACATCTCTACACATAATTTTTGGTGACCTTGCAGATTTTTTTTCTTTTTTCATTTATTTTCACTTGTCCAGTAGCCCACGTCTTTATTTACGGTTCTTAGTGAACAGCTGGAGTTTTCTTAGAAACCTTCCAGTGGCTGGAAATACTTTGACCATGTCAAGGCTGAAGCATAGCAAAAATGTTCACAAGTGTAAGAAGGCAGGAAGGAATGTGTTGGAGTAAATGGGAAAACTGAAGTATCTCAAAGCTTGAGAGTAATAATCAACTTTCTAAATTGGAGGCCTTGATGGGTCTTCTACTGCCTGATGGTTTGAAAATGAGTGCTTTGTTTTGGGTAATTTAACTGTTATGCATAATTCTGGCTTAAAGGGCTTTTAGAGTTGATTTGAAGCTTTCGTGACTGCAGGAATCCATACTCATTGATTTTTTTTTGGTAAAGTCACTTAGAAAATTAATAGATCACGACGTTTTGATTGCAACACAAGCAACCGTCTTCAGGTGAGAGAGAGAAAGCTACTGAAACAAGGTCTTACGTAGGCCTGAGATGGATGCAGCCTCAGGGTAAGAGGGCGGGGCTAGAGATGGTCTCCCTGAGGCTGTGGAAGTGGCGATTGTATTGTGAGAGATTAGCATGTCAATGCACGAGCTTAGTATGTTGCAGCATCGGTGACTGAGCGAGCAGGACATCCAGCCCATCAATACCAAGACATCCAACCTAATAATGCAACTCAGAGAGTCAGCTAAAATCGCAGGAAGGATGGAAACATCACAGCAGGTTAAGACTTTACCTGGTTAATCACGTCCTTCCAATGATTGCTCAATTTGTACCTATCTACTCGGAAGTTGTGTCTGTGTTTATATATCTGGATGGCTTCATAAACAAATCTCTGATAATAGCCAGGGGGTTTGCAGAGTACCTTCGTCTTGGAAAAATATATTTCGTGTGTGCCCACAGCGTTAAAACTGATCAGCAACGGCAGAGGTATTGGTCCTACTATGCTTTAGATCTGCCTTGTGTTCGCGAACACGATCCGAGACTTGTCGTATCGTTTCCCCAATGTAACTGCTGCCGCAGCCACAACTTAGTTTGGAGATACCAGGATATTGCATGTCAGGAATCAATCCTTTACAGATGGGATCAAATCACGGATTTTGTGTACTGTGTTGAAACGAACCTGGATCTTGTGTTTGTTTAAGATTTAGGAAATATATTTTTTTAACCCCTGCTATGTATGGCAAGGTGATGGTTTTGATTGGGTCCTCAGATGGTTGTCTCCCCATGGCTGGGGAGACAGCTTTGCGGATTGTACGGTCACAATATCCATTCATCCTGAGGACTTGGTGTACGTGCTCCAGCTCACTGGCTAGGTGGTGCTGGTTGGAGATGCAATGGGCCCTATGGTGTAGTGTTTTGATGAGGGAATTCTTCTGAGCTGGATGGTGGTGAGAGTCAGGCTTTAGATAGGCATCCGTGTGGGTAGCTTTCCCGTAGACAATGTCCCAACGAGCCATTAGGTCTCTTCTCGATCAAAACATCCAGGAATGGTAACTTGCCATCCTTTTCCACTTCCATGGTGACTTTGATGGCTGGGTGTATGGAATTGATGTGGTTGACGAATTGGTTTAGTGCTGGCTGGCCATGTGGCCAGATGACGAACGTGTCATCTACTTATCTCTTCCACGTAGGGTGGATGTCTGAATGGCATCTGTTTCAAATTTCTCCATGAAAACATTCGCTGCCACTGGCGATAAGGGAGAACCCATTGGGGGTACCCTCCTCTTGTTTGTGAATGTACCTACCATTCCAGGTGTAGTTAGTATTGGTAAGGCAGTGCCTCACCAAAGTTGGCACATCAGAATTCAGTCCCTGTTGGACCAAGTCTCCAATGATTGCAATGGTGTCAGGCACAGGTACCTTGGTGAACAGAGAGACTACATCGAAACTGACAAGCAAATAATCTGGAGACAGTGAGATGTCTTTGTTTAGAGAAACCAAGTGAGCTAAGTACAGCTGATGTGGTTTTGCCAGTGGATGGAAGCAAGGTCTCAGACAGAAATCATGTCAGTTTGTAGGTGGGTGAGTTAATGGTGGAGATGATGGGATGGAGCAGTGTACCTTGTTTGTGGATTTATTTTTTAGAGTGTTGGCACGGTCAGCCAAGTGACCGTTTTCACTTTGAGTGGATGGAGCCTCTACCTCGACTGCTACATGCTGACAAATTACTCAAATTTTTGCACAGCAACATTTAGTTCCAATATGTTAACGTGTGTGTATTTTACACATTGGTAGTGGGGGGGGCTATCACGTTCTATTGCCTGTATAAAAAAAATATATTTTTAAGTTAAGCAATTATAGCAAACATTTAAATAATGGGACCAGTGGAAGATAATTTTAAACAATTTGGACAATCGACAAATGTGGCACTTGTCCATGATTTATGATCACTCGTACTCTCAAGTGTACGCATATATGCTTCACATTTGCACTACAGTTTGGTACTTAACACGTGCACAAGCTGTCTAATCGACTAGTAGTTGCGTGGGATATGTTACCACTCACATTGTTCCCGCTTTGTCTGACAGGTGCTGCCTTACTGGGGAAATCCTCACGACAGGAAGGTGATCCGCAAGTTCTGGAGCCAGGTAGGGGTGCACCCTCCGTTCAAGCTCTGCATCGTGCTGTGGCTTGCTCTGGTCCCGTTGAGAACGTGTGAAGGGGGAACAATTGCCCATAGTGTCAACCTTGAAAATCATAAACTCACTCCAATCTCTGCATGACGTATTTGGTAAAATTCAACTATAAACTATTTTTTACTTTACCAGGTAAGGGCCCACTGAGCTTATATAGCTTTTTTTCAGAAGCAACCTGGCCACAAATTATTGCTCATCAAAATATCATAAATGTTTGGAAATGTATAGCAGCCAAATACTCTAAATGCACGTTGATTCTAAATGTGCAAAGAAAAACCAGAGAACTTGGAGAAAAATCCACGCGACCACAGAGAGGACACGCAACGTCAAGATCGAACCCACTACCTCCTATATACCGGGCGAGGTAGTTAACATCTCGCCACCTTGGCGCCACTGCAGAAGCTCTCGGCAAATGGCAGAGCAATTTCCTGAGGGAACTTTCTGATGGATTGGGGCCTTGGTTGATGTTTGTGTTTCACGCTGGGTTTGGTGTGGATGTTGCTGATCGTTTTATCGACAAGGCTTGCTTCAGGCCGACCCTTTATCGCGTTCCTCTGTCAAAATGTTAGTGACTCGATGGCACGGCTGGACAAATAGTACGACGCCACGATTGGCGGCGGTGTTGGCGAGCCGCTGGGAGGCAGGGGCATAGACGGGGCAACGGTGTTGCGGGGAATCGCACCGTAGTTGTTACCTTGTCAAAATTGGCCCATGTTCACTGAATTGAATTAACATAGCCAATTGCAAGTCACAGAGTATTATTAAAGGTGATGTTCTTATAATAACATCAGACATAAGTTAGAACATCAATAGATGAAGGCTCTTGACACTTGATCTCATTAGTGGTGTCATACAGGATATCAGAAGTGATGTTGTACAACTGTTTGTTAAATTAAGCTTTTTAAAAACTCTTATAATTGGTGTCATGAGGTGAAAGAAGTATCCCAATCAGGCTCAGTAGGCTAATCAGGACCTTTCGCTGCCTGGGAATGTTGGCAGCGCTTTTCTAGAGTGCCCGGTCTCTTGTTAATTGGATGTTAGAGACCCGTGAATTACTTCACTGGAGTCGGCCATGATCTTTGGGCGTTTTGGCCCAAATATATTTAATGGTAATTAAATGTCAAAATTTTTTTAATTTAAAATATCCCCCATCATATCTATCATAGTCCATGTCTCCATTGTTAACTAGAAATCTCACGATTCTTCAAGCATTTCAAAACAGAACACAATCTACACAAACATATTTGATTTTGTACTTGGTTACATGAGGAACATTGACTGTGCAGCCAATGATCGTTGTCAACATCTAATACCCACTTTTGTTAATGTGGGTATTCGATGTCTTTATACCCATCCCTATGAAGACATTGTGTGGATGCAGGTTCCATGACTGCGGCCCCTGTGTGTGCATGTGCGCGCGTGCCGCCCTGCAGAAAACCCTGTTCACGCAGGACGCGCCGTTCCACGTGGTGATTACCAGCTACCAGCTGGTGGTGCAGGACGTCAAGTACTTCCAACGTGTTAAGTGGCAGTACATGGTACTGGACGAGGCACAGGCCCTCAAGAGCAGCACAAGGTCAGCGTGGCACACACACACATCTCCTCTGTGCACCACACACACACACTTCTCCTAGCCTGTATAAGCTGTTTAGAGCAACCTCTATGAGCACTTATTAAGGCAGCATGTTCCAAACCTTGCATAGTTGTGGTAATGTCAGCAGCATACAGCTGTGAATTACAGTGGTGGTTGTCTTGTGTGCGTGTCATGCCGGCAGTGTGCGGTGGAAGATCTTGCTGCAGTTCCAGTGCCGGAACCGGCTGCTGTTGACTGGCACGCCAATCCAGAACACCATGGCGGAGGTGAGTTCTCGTGGAGATTAAAATAATTGTAAAGTAGGCGCACCAGAGGTGGCTTCTTTCATAATGCTGGACAACTATTTTAATCAGAAATTTGTGCAGTTTGTGTAGATTGTTGCAAACGTGCGTAGTTGCTGCGTTGGCACCTGCCTTGCTACACTGCCACTCTGGGTTTGTTTGCTGCCACGTGGGTGCTGCCTGCATCCCGCGCTTACACGTGTGTGTGTGTGTTTGTTTGCGTGCGTGCTGCGATGGCCAGCTCTGGGCCCTGCTGCACTTCATCATGCCCACACTGTTTGACTCTCACGAGGAGTTCAACGAGTGGTTTTCCAAGGACATCGAGAGCCACGCCGAGAACAAGTCTGTAATCGACGAGAGTGAGTGCCGCTCCCCAACTCCACCGTCTTCCCCTTTCACTACACCCTCCCTTTTCACCGTCTCTTGCCTCACCTCTCTCCCCCTCCTCTCTCTTCAACACCTCCCAGACCACACGTGACAACGCAAAACCTAAAGCAAACACCTTTGCATGATTTTATATTTTTATAAGGCTGTATCCAAATAGTGAAAATATGTCCGGATACCATCCAGATCTGGGTTGTATGCGGATATTTGGAACATCCGTGATTTAAGGCCACATTGTTTACGTGATATGTGCTGTGACTGTGTGACACGGTTGATCCTCGGTCTGCTACAGTGCGGGAATGGCTGTGTTGGCTCTGTACTACCCATGACGCAATTTTGAGGTGAACGCTGCCCTAATAGAGGAACGTATGCCAGCAAGCGGTGTGTACCAATTGAAAGGTCAACGAAGTTGCTTTTCCAGGGACATAGCAGATTTGAAAAATCGTGCAGATTATAACGTATTTTTATTACAAGCAGAATTTTTAGGGTCTTTCCCGAAATAGTTAACATGTGTTTTTGCCCTCGCCTCCCTCAGACCAATTGTCACGGCTGCACATGATCCTCAAGCCATTCATGCTGCGGCGCATCAAGAAGGACGTGGAGAATGAGCTCTCCGATAAGGTGTGCACCCGCGGGACCGCCTGTATGCACTGCACCGGCATGCACGGCACTCACCGTGCGTGTACGGTGCTCGCCTTGTGCGGTGCACGCCGTGCATGCACGCTGCACACTGCGCAAGGAACAGAGTAGTTCGTGTCCTGCTGTGGTCAGCACAGTGTTTCGTTACACATGGCACCGTCGGCCGCGTGGTCAGCACATGTGTGACTGACACTGCTTGCAGGAATGCTTTTACTCTTTGGTTCTTTCGGTAAAGTCATGTAGAAAATTATAAATCAAATAATAGAAGACGACGTTTCGATTGCAACACAAGGTAGGGATGGAAAAAAAACATAGATAACTTAGAAACACAAGGCAACACAACACAGAGAGCCGGCCAACACAACAGCCAACACCCCACCTGGCTGACCACGCTCCTCCAAAGGATGACAAAAAGAAAGACAGCGCCACTGTGTCGAGGCTTTAAATAGAGAGAGGGGGGGAGGGGTTGGGGCAGAGAGAGGAGGGCGGGCAGAGGGCAATGAGAGTGTTGTGTGGAATTCCGGACCACAGTGGCTGGAGGCAGACCACACTCCTCCAAAGAATAGTTGTGTGGAATTCCGGACCATAGTGGCCGGAGGAGAGACAATGGACTATAAACAAGCAGCACGGCAATATTTAGAGTAAGAAAATCGGAAGTTTGAGAAAGCAAATTTAGTAAAATTAGAGATTGTAATGCAATGCAACAACATAGAGTCGGTTAACACAGTTAACGCAATGACTGGTTGATTACATTCTCTGTGTTGTGTTGCATTGTGTTTTGAAGTTTACTATATTGTTTTTTTCTCATTCATTCTTACCTGATGACAGTTGCTTGTGTTGCAATCGAAACGTCGTATTCTATTATTATTGATTTTATTTTCTACGTGACTTTAAAAAAAAGAACCAAAGAGTAATTCCTGCAGTCAGGAAAGCTTGAAATCTAGGAATACTTTTTTTTATATTTTGTTGTTTTAATAGGTAAGGATCACTGATCTATGTAGCTCTTTTTAAAAAAGTGACCTGGCCGTAAAGGTTAGCTCAACAAAGCGACTTATCATGTGGAAATGTATAGCAGCCAAATACTCTCAACGCATGTTTCTAAATGCGGAGGGAAAAGCTGGATTACCCAGAGAAAAATCCACGCGACCATGGGGAGAACATGCAAACTTCAAATATACAGGCATCACGGTCGGGATCGAATCCACGACCTACATACCAGGCTAGGTAGCGGCGACCGCGGAAGACGCATTTTGAACCGCCCCAAACTTCAGAAATTCGACGGAGGGAGCAGACATTCATTTAGCCTCGCATGAAACCATCACGCAGCTTTCCGACTTGGACATAATAGAGCTTTAAGTTGCGCTTCACTAAACCATGCACAAGAAGTGAATGTTTACATGACGTCAGGAATATAATCCTTGCTGCCACCCATTAATGATGCTGCGTGGTTGTGAAAAGTGCATTGCAATGCTATGTAGTGGGCACGAACAAGTCTGTGGCATTGGGTGACTTGGGGCATCTGTATTGCCTATATTTTTGCAATAACATGTCCCCTGTGTGCTTTTACATTGCAGATCGAGGTGCTGGTCTACTGCCATTTGAATTCGAGGCAACGGCTCTTATACCAGGGCCTCAAAAACAAGATCTCCATTGAGGATCTGCTGCAGTCGTCCATGGGCACCCAGCTCGCCCACACCACCACAAGCAGCCTCATGAACCTAGTCATGCAGTTCCGCAAGGCATGGCTCTCACACACGCACAATCACACGCGCGCACACACGTGGACGGACACACCAACGAACACGGCGTGCTCACGGCATCCTCGTAATTGGGGGGTGGTGGGGCGGCTGTGGTGGTGGTGCTTGTTCTCAGCGACCGTCCCTGATTGTAACCTTGAGATAAAAAGATATTCCTGCATATTTACAGTTTTGGATGTTTTCTTATCCGAGGCACGGGATAGAACAAGATCATTTCTGGCTATATAGTGCGGAGTTTATGGTAATGAAGAGGGATTTATGGTTGCCAGCAACATTTTCCATCAGGGAAGAGTATAATATGACATTTTCTTTGTGTAGGGGTGGGGTATTACAAACCTGCATGTAATGTCCGATGGCATTTAATGGTTGAGGTGGAATAAAAATGCCTCCTAGACTTTTAACCAGTTAGGAATGCTTTCAAAATACGACATTCGTTGAGCTTAATATCAACATTGCAGGCTGTTATGTCGTGCCCGTTCCTGTAGGTGCATGGGTGGGGGGGTGCATGCATGCGTGAATGCGTGGGCATACCGTGGGTGGGTTGGTGGGCATACCGTGGGCGTGGAGTCGTGGGTACATGTGTATGTCTGCTGGCTGCTCGTTGTGCAGGTGTGCAACCACCCGGACCTTTTTGAGCGCCAGGAGACTCGCTCACCCTTTTTCTTTCCGACGGAGGTGTACCCTGTGCCCAAGCTAGTGTACCGCGAGTGCCTCCCTGCCTCCTGCAATCCCTACAAGCGAAAGTGAGTTTGCGCTGTCTGCGCATGGTTGGTTTACCGACAGGTTCCTGTGGCTGCTGCAGGGCGGCGTTTGGTTTGTTCTCTGGTTACCGAGGCCTGGTGGCTCGGCAGTGGAGCGAGCGGCTCGCACGTCGGCAGATTACGAGTTCATTCCATCTAGAGGAATGAACTCAATGAGAACCACTTTGTGGGAAAGTCACCAGTGGTTCTCCTTTTGATGGACTTGGCCTGCCATTGGAATGTGGATATCCCACCACTGGCTTAGGGCTTTAAGGAGAGATGACCGCTGTCTCGATGCTCATTTGAGCATAAATAGCTTGTGTCTTTGACCGGTTGCTGGGTTATTGCCTGATTGTTTTGTGATTTTTAGTTGTTCGTTTCATTCCATACGCTGTAATCACCTGCTGATTGACGTTGCGCTAACGACGTAAACTTGACTCCACCTGGTGTATCTGGTATATCAGAGTCGTAACCCCAGGAGTTAATTTAAAAGACCAGTCGGCCATAAAAGCTGAGATTTTACTTTCTTCTTTGTTATGAAAAAAACTTGTTATATTTAATGAATCTGTCATTCATCATGTATTATTATTATTCTTAAGAAAAGGTTTTTGGGTTAGATCGCATAAATATGAATTGTAAATGATGTGGGTATGCTCTCCAACAGACCGGTGTGCTGAACTAGTAACTAATTAGCACGTTTTGTTTCCATGATAAACCTTACTAATTGGCGGGTGATGGTGGTTTAACGAGACATATCTATGGGACCTTTTTGCCAGTATCAAAAGGTGTTAAGATGTTCAAACACCAAATAGATACCTTCTGCATGGCAACAAGTCTGCATTAACCACACATGCTTGTGGCAAAACATTTACCTGATCTAACCCAAAAAACTTTATTATCAGTAACTTTATCGTTATTTATTTTAAATAGTAAATGCTGTTAGTAAAGACTGGCAGCAAAACCATCTTCTGAAATCAACCTTTGAGAGTGTAGGGATGTTAGCATTCCTGGTTGGCTTGCTTAGGTCTCTTACTAACGAATGTAAAATTGGTATTGCTCGATGATTTTGTCATCAGTTTCTGTTTTGGCATGCAGGAAATAATTGCTTACACTGCTGGTGCTGTGTGTCCTTGTTGTAACACTGTGTACACCATGGCGCTTGGTGTGCTGTGCCTCAGACTGCTGCTCTCCACCCTGTCTCCGTTCGCTGCTGAGCACATCCACTCCTCGCTCTTCCATGCCAAGGGTAAGCACCCCACCTCGCGAATCTCCCCCTCCACCAGGGGACAGCGATCGCACTGACGCCTTTTGTAACTTGGAGCAATCATATTGCGTGTTAAACACGCACGTTTTTTCTATAGGCCAGCAGCCAGTTGGATAAAACAGGGCTCTCTTGAGCTCCCTCTAGTGAAGGCCCTTCTGCCAGCAGTGTCATGGGCAGGGCTGCACCTTTATCTGTACCTTTGTACAAGTTAATGTTCTATATATAAGTGAATACAAGCTACTCTCCGTGTATTGTATAGATGTGTTTCACTGTTCTTCAGATTTTTTTAAGCAACATTTTACCTTATGATTGTTGTTTCCTAAGAAATATTTGCTTAGAATCCCAACGGCATTCATCACCAAGTAATAGTCTAACGTTTTTCCTCTGTTTGTCTTGAGTCATTGCTGATTCCTTATGTTCTAAGCGGCCACTTTTGTTTATGGTGAAAGGGTACTTTTTTCCCTTTATGAACACGCCCGATGTAGCCAGAGCATCCCGTGCTTTTTACTTCACTGCCGCATATGACAGAAACACGCTTCTGGGAGCCAGAGCGCACTCTTAATGTTCCGGGGCGCTCACGCGCCGGGCCCCCCTGCAGCACGCCGGCCCGCTGTCCTTACCGGTGCCACCTGCACCTTGCCGCCATACGGTGTCGCCCTCGGCTCGGAGAGCGCTCGCTCCGTGGGCACGTGGGGCAGACGCAGGCGGGCCCGGGTTGTTGTGCAGCGGAGCACGCTCGCGTTGCTCGTGTTACAACCAGGATATCCGCAGCGGGCCGCCCTCCCCGTGGCTTCAAAGTGGGGCCCCCGTCTGGCAAGCGCATTCCCACTAGCAGGAGAGGCCTGGCAGGCAGGCGGGGGCTTCCTGTTATGGCAGCTCCAGATGGCGTGCATGACTTACGCGCTGGGAAAGGGAGCAGGGGGCCGATGGCAGTGTTGTGTGCGAGTGCCCTCATCAACAGGATATTTGTGTTTTAACGCGATCAACCACACACACACACACACGTTCGCGTTGAGCCCTTCCACTCTTCAGTGCTGCGTTCCTTATTATTAGATTTCGCTTCTTGATAAAAGCAAAACAAACAAAAGATTATTTGTCTTCAGTTCGAACAAAGGCCGCATGTTTTCTGAATAGGTGTGTTCTTTTGCAGCGTGCACCCTTCCCGAGTGGGTGTGCCATAACTTACTCGCGCACGCCAGGGAGCATAAAGCACTGTCTGGAATATTTTTGTTAAACAGATTGTGCCATGTACACGGAGGTGATATAACTGCCCATATTAATAACCTACCAGGTAGCAATGGCTGTTAAAACACCCAGTGAAAATACACCTGCATTGCCTATGGCTTTTATTGCCATAACCCTGCCTGTATTGTGTTTTCACCGTAAAACTGGATAACCAATGTAGACGGCCTTGCAACTGGTCCGACAGCAATCCGTGTGCACAATTGTTGTGGAAAAATAATGCATACACTTTGGCAGGGATGTACAGGCATAGCTCAAACACAATTAATCGTTAACATGGCCTGAGAAGAGAAACATCTATATAGGAGGCTGGCTTTTCAAGCTATTTCCTGAAACCTCAACTTGATTGAAACATATGCTGATGTTATATCAACGAATGAGTATGTAATGCCAACGTTGTTGGTAGCTACAAGCTTATCATTATCGCCCCCCCCCCCAACTGGCAGACTGATACCCCTGATCGCTTTTGCAATTAAACTCATCGTGGTCTTTTTGGAGTTTGGGTTAGGTTGAACAAAAAAACTTTAAACTTGTGACGCAGGGTGCATTTACGATGATCCAGAAATAGGTTGCACATTGTGCCGAGTGGAGAGACATACACGTTCACATACAGTGTGCACCCCGATGTTCATGCTGCACATTATCACCATGCGTACATCCGACTGAGGGGTTCCGTTACTCTTTTCTTGGACCGTGCTGGCCTGTGGCAGGGAGTTGTGCGTGAAATGTACAATCACCCATTCGTGGAGTGAGACAAAACTCCCAATATAGGAATAGAGAGCTTGGGAAATTGTTGGCTCCTGTTCTGGCTGCCTGTTTACGTTTTTTACCACGCAGACCTCCCTGTGAAATATGTGCATGTTACAAATTCTACAGTGTATTTGAGATGCAATTTGCACGAATCGCACTGTATAAAAATATATATCTATCACCTCTGCGTGCAGGCGGCGGCAGCAACAGTTCCTTCTCCTTCTTGCGCTTTGTGGACACCTCTCCGGCCGAGCTGTCTAACCTCATGCTGCAGGGGCTGCTGGTCAGGTAAAGCCTCCTCTACCCAGTGTCACGGGCACTTACTGCAGAGCAGTTGGGGCAGGCCGAGTGCCAGGCATAGCTCATCCTTATCATATATTGTTTGTAGTACAAGGCTTAAATTTTGATTTAAAGCTTTCGTGACTGCAGTAATTCATATTCTTAGCTCTTTCGGTAAAGTCACGTTGAAGGGAAACAATAAAGTAATAAAATATACATATAAAACAATAAAAATTATCACGACGTTTCGACCATAACACAAACGGTCGTCATCAGGTGTGTCGGTTTGCATTAATTTATTTATTTTTAAACGGTGTATTTATTTATAAAAAAACGTCAGCGCCACGCGCAGCGATTTGGCAGTTTATTTTATTATTATATGTTCTGAAAAGAGGAGGGGGGAGACGAAAAATTAATGTATGCTGTCTGAAAGCCACTGTAAGTGTGAACAATCAATTAAGACCTGAAATGGTTAATCAAATCTTTCCAATGATTGCTAAGCCAGAATCCATCTTTTTTCGGTTGAAATTGTCTCTGTGCTTGTATATGTGGATAGCCTCATGAACGAATCTCTCATGGTAGCCAGATGGCTTACAAAGAACCTCTGTCTTGGAAAAGTCAATGTCATGTGAGCCTACTGAATTATAACAATGATCTGCCACGGCCGAGGTGTTGGTCCTACCGTGTTTAAGGTCTGCTTTGTGTTCACGAATGTGGTCCGAAACATGGCGTTTGGTTTCTCCAATGTAACTACTACCACAGAGGCTACTTAGTTTGTAGACACCAGGGTACTGTATGTCCGGGATCACATCTTTTACAGATGGAACCAGATCACGGATTTTATGTAATGTGTTGAAACGGACCTGGATCTTGTGTTAATTCAAGATTTTGGAGATCTTTTTTGTGATCCCCGCAATGTAGGGTAAAGTGATGGTTTTGAAAGGCTCCTCAAGAGGGTCCTTCTTCATGGTTTGAGTGATAGCTTTGCGGATTGTATAGTCGGAGTAACCATTAGCCTTAAGAGCTTGGTGTACGTGCTTGAGTTCACTGCCTATGTGTTCCTGGTCGGATATGCATTGGGCTCTATGATACAGAGTCTTGATGAGAGAATTCTTCTGTGATGGATGGTGGTGGGAATCCGGTTTCAGATAAGCATCCGTATGGGTAGCTTCCCTGTAGACAGTGGCTCATTGAACCATCAGGTCTCTTTTTAATTAGGACATTATATAAATTAAAAAAGAGGGATGATATTGTAGTCCTCTCAGCTGACAAGGGCAATGCTACTGTCATCATGGATAAAATAGAATACAACAACAAAATTAAAGAATTACTCGACGATGGTAGTTATACAAAATAAAAAGAGATCCCACCAACAGCCTCGTCACACAAACCAACAAAATAATTTCTGATTCAACCGCATTAATTGATCAATCTAAACAGTTTTCGTTGAAACCTTCTGCTGCCAGGCCACCAAGATTATACGGCTTACCAAAAATACATAAAGTAGATACACCCCTCCGTCCCATCGTCTCTACTATCAACTCCCCCACCTACAAACTGGCTCGTTTTTTGTCTGAAATCCTGCGTCCTTTCACTGGAAAAACCACCTATGCGGTTCAAAATTCTACTCACCTGGTATCGACAATCAAGGGTATTTCCCTGTCCCCAGACGACCTGCTTGTCAGTTTTGATGTAGTTTCCTTATTCACCAAGGTTCCTGTACCTGACACCATCGCAATCATTGAAGACTTGGTTCATCAAGGACTAAACACTGGTGAGACACTGTTTAACCAATACATACTTCACTTGGAATGGAACTTTCTACAAACAAACTGAGGGCACCCCAATGGGCTCCCCCCTATCTCCGGTTATATATAACATTTTCATGGAGAAATTTGAGACTGACGCCATCCAGACTGCCACTCTGCGCCCAACCTTATGGAAGAGGTACGTGGATGACACTTTTGTCTTCTGGCCACATGGCCGGCTTGCTCTAGACCAATTCTTCGACCACATCAATTCTATACACCCAGCCATCAGATTTACCATGGAAGTCGAAAAAGATGGCAAGCTACCTTTTTTGGATGTCCTAATTAAAAAGAGACCTGATGGTTCAATGAGCCACTCTGTCTACAGGGAAGCTACCCATACGGATGCTTATCTGAAACCCACCACCATCCATCACAGAAGAATTCTCTCATCAAGACTCTGTATCATAGAGCCCAATGCATATCCGACCAGGAACACATAGGCAGTGAACTCAAGCACGTACACCAAGCTCTTAAGGCTAATGGTTACTCCGACTATACAATCCGCAAAGCTATCACTCAAACCATGAAGAAGGACCCTCTTGAGGAGCCTTTCAAAACCATCACTTTACCCTACATTGCGGGGATCACAAAAAAGATCTCCAAAATCTTGAATTAACACAAGATCCAGGTCCGTTTCAACACATTACATAAAATCCGTGATCTGGTTCCATCTGTAAAAGATGTGATTCCGGACATACAGTACCCTGGTGTCTACAAACTAAGTAGCCTCTGTGGTAGTAGTTACATTGGAGAAACCAAACGCCATGTCTCGGACCGCATTCGTGAACACAAAGCAGACCTTAAACACGGTAGGACCAACACCTCGGCCGTGGCAGATCATTGTTATAATTCAGTAGGCTCACATGACATTGACTTTTCCAAGACAGAGGTTCTTTGTAAGCCATCTGGCTACCATCAGAGATTTGTTCTTGAGGCTATCCACATATACAAGCACAGAGACAATTTCAACCGAAAAAAGATGGATTCTGGCTTAGCAATCATTGGAAAGATTTGATTAATCATTTCAGGTCTTAATTGATTGTTCACGCTTACAGTGGCTTTCAGACAGCATACATTAATTTTTCGTCTCCCCCCTCCTCTTTTCAGAACATAGATGGACTAGTCCTTATAAATAAACTGCCAAATCGTTGCGCGTGGCGCTGACGTTTTTTATAAATAAATAAATACGCCGTTTAGAAATAAATACATTAATGCAAACCGACACACCTGATGACGACCGTTTGTGTTATGGTCGAAACGTCGTGAGAATTTTTATTGTTTTATATATATTTTATTATTTTATTGTTTTCCTTCAACGTGACTTTACCGAAAGAGCTAAGAATATGAAGTACAAGGCTTCTCGGACCAATTATGAGACTGGAGCTTTTAAATGACCAAAACATTTTTATCAAAATATTTCGAGGTTTAGCTCAGAAATGTAAAAAAAATACGCTTGGATTTGAATCTTTACCAGTAAAATAAAATTTTCACGTTTTGTATTGTAGCAGTCGTGTTAAGCTTTCTGTCAATTAAAACAAATTCCAAGGCCTTATTTTTTATTTTTTTTAATGGCTATTTCAGTGTTTAACTTGTTATCAGTATAATTTTCTTTGTTTCACTGCCTCCCTTTATTTTCTTGCGGAATCCCATAGATCAAACACTGTTAGAAATATATCAATGTTAATCCAGGCAGTGACATGACCTGGCGGTGCGCATTCGCTGCTTGTTGCAGAGGTTCGAAGATCGAATCCAGCAGCCACCCTGGCTGCTGCTTCAGGTGTATTGATCATAGAGTACACGCGGCCTGCTTCATGGTTGACGTTAAAGGTTCTTTGACAACTTTAGCATGAGTCGGGCATTGTGTGCTTGCATCATGGTCCACATTTGCCAAATTAGAAAATGAACCCACGTTAAACAATTGTGATTACGCATGGCAAGTACCGCCCCCCCCCTACTCACAGACCACAGGGCTCGGACAGTTCTTTGTCTTCGGTTCTGGCTCTGCCTTGCCTGCGGTTTCCCGTGTATGTTGCACATTGTGCACAGTGCTGTGAGGTTGCATTTGCATGAATGAGGCCGCAGCATAAAATAACGAATTTGCATTTTATGAGTTCTGCACAAGTATCCTCCTGGTCCTACTAAAATGCCGTCTCAATAATGAAAGTTTGTCGGCCAATTCAGGCTCCGTGCTGTTTGCTGCTTGGCCTTGCAGCAAGTGAACCGTAGTGATGTGTGTGTGTTTACCGGATGCCTGCTGCCCGCCTGCCTGTAGGTGGTTGGCCGTGTTCCTTGCCATGAAGGCCTCGTACCGGCTGCAGTACGAGCAGGCGTGGCCAGACCAGGTGGCTTGCGCGCCGTACCTGCATTCGCGCGCGCTGCTGCTCTCTCCCCAGAGAGTTACCTCGATGCCCAGTGTAGAAAGCAGCCCCGTGTTACAGGTAAGAGTCTGGTTTGTCAATGGGTGGCAGTGCCACTAAAACAATGCCCAGGGGGTGATGGCTGCAATTGCAGTAGCCGTGACGGCCTCGTAAACTTGCATTGATATTGTTGGCTTATTCTTTTCCATATTTGCCTGCTGCATAACCATTTTACTTATGTTATGCACTTATTCATATCTTCGTGTAATGATATGAGCCAAATTGCAGCAGGTATTCCATGTGTGATCATGTTTTGTGTGAGTGATTACATTTATAATCGAATACAGTACAATACCACAACGGTAACCGGCGCTTTGCGTCCCCAAGTAGCACAAACACTTCTAATCTGCACGCCTCCACTTTGTCCAGGGAATGTCATGATGGTGGTAATTTGGAGGCGACACAGTCCCTGTTTTTTTCCAAGAGATGAAGCAATTGTTAAAAGCGGCAGCAGCCGATTTAATGTTGTCCATCGAATAGCGGCACCACTCTGCACCGGAAGCCATGCAATGAACTTTATTGCGATGGTCCCAGATAAAGCCCCTTCACAGCTCCCACAGCCGCATGCACGTGTGGCCCGACCATTGGGAGGCCCCTTCCAGGAAGCCTGTGAGCTGACACCCGCGTGGCGGCCGACTCTCCGTGCTGATTAACGGCCGGCCCAACTGCGCCTCCCCACCCCCTCCGTGCTCCCTGGGGGCCCCTCCCCACCTCCGATAGATAGAGGAAGCCTATTGAGGAGGCTCCGGTTCGAGACAGGGCCACCGCAAGTTGCTTGGTGCAATCACAGTGGGCGTTGTATTCGGAATAATGCCTCCATATCAATGAGCTTCCTAAGTGCACACTTGAGGTTTGTGTGTGGATCTGTAGTCACAGGCACCGGTAGTTTTATGGGATGAATTTCAAGACACTGGCGCTGACGTCATTAACTTGTGCACATATTATTTTTGTTCTTCTGTCGTTATTGCTGTCTTTGATGAATTGCTTCAGGATTATACAAAGGGTGGTGTGTAGTATGTCTGTTTGTTGAACTTTTCTTTCACCGTACGTAGCAAGCTGTGCTTATCGGAGGTGTGAGGGAAGGACAACAAACGAAACACAAAAAACTGTTCGAAGGAAATGACTTAAATCTATACTCTTTGGTTATTTCGGTAAAGTCACGTAGGTATAAAATACAATAAATTAAATCACGACGTTTCGGGCGCAACACAAGCATCCGTCATCAGGTGGGACAACTACAGCAAGAAACAATTGCTGAAGTGGGCAAAAGCGCTGCTGCAACCAGATTTAAAAGTGCATCGCTCGGGTGGCTTTCTAATATCGGAAAGAAGAGTGTTCCAGACGGCCGCAGAAGCACATCTGAAGCGCGCACTGCAGTGACCATCTTTGTTCGACGGCTAGCCGAAAGCCACTGCTGCGAGGATGACCGGAGTGTGCGCAATGGTTTATGCTCCTTGACGAGATGAGCAAGGCATTGTGGTTCATTTGTGGCAAGCACTTTATGTTAAGTGAGTGCAGACAAAAATTAAGGATGTAAAAATGTAACGGTGACAAGTGGCCACATGCCATAGAAGGCTAATGCCACGTTACAGTGAAACAGCACTGCTCAGATTCTGTTTGAATCTGGGCACTTGTGATTAACCAGGCTTTCGAACCTCAAATCAGCAACAGTGTGTCTTTTCACATACAAGATATTTTTTTGTTCATCAACCGATTATCCTTCCAGATGAATGTTACCCAGCAGCTTTTGAATAAGCAAGTAAACTAGTCCAGAATTCAAGCTTGCACATTGGTATAGTTGCTTAAATAAATATGGCCGAATAACAGTCCTAAAGGCACTTGGGCTGATTAAATATAATTGTAATTTTACATCGATACAGATGCATATTTTCATACCCATAATTTTCGAGTGCTTAACGAGTTGTTTCGAGTGTCATACCAGTTACTGGTTTATTCCTGCTCGGAGATTTACAAATGATGTAGGTTTGACATGCTGTGAGCACTCTTTTCCAGGGCATGTAAAAAGTATGACCAGATTGAGTCCCATTGAAGTGGCTTCAGGAGGAAGCTTGGGACATAAGAACGTAATCAACCAGGCTATGCGTTAATTGTGTGTTGACCGACTCTCTGTGTTGCATTGCATTACATTTCAAATTTTTACTACGTTTGTTTGATTTAGTGTGTTTTCTCTCTCTCTCTGTGTCCTCGTGTTGTTGCTCTATTATTTCCTGCAGTCACGAAAGCTCCAAATCTCTCGTTGATATGCTAATTTCTCTACCCCCCCCCCCCTCTCTCTCTGCCCCCCTCTATTTATTTAAGGCCTCGACACAGAGGCATTGTTTCTCTGTGTGCCTATGTGTGTCTGTGTTATCTCTCTCTGCTTACAGTGAGGGAAAAAGTATTTGATCCCCTGCTGATTTTGTACATTTGCCCACTGACAAAGAAATGATGAGTCTATAATTTTAATGGTAAGTTTATTTGAACAGTGAGAGACGAATAGCAACAAGAAAATCCAGAAAAACGCATGTCAAAAATGTTATAAATTGATTTGCATTTTAATGAGGGAAATAAGTTTTTGACCCCCTCTCAATCAGAAAGATTTCTGGCTCCCAGGTGTCTTTTATGCAGGTAACGAGCTGAGATTAGGAGCACACTCTTAAAGGGAGTGCTCCTAATCTCAGCTTGTTACCTGTATAAAAGACACCTGTCCACAGAAGCAATCAATCAATCAGATTCCAAACTCTACGCCATGGCCAAGACCAAAGAGCTCTCCAAGGATGTCAGGGACAAGATTGTAGACCTACACAAGGCTGGAATGGGCTACAAGACCATTGCCAAGCAGCTTGGTGAGAAGGTGACAACAGTTGGTGCGATTATTCACAAATGGAAGAAACACAACAGAACTGTCAATCTCCCTCGGCCTGGGGCTCCATGTAAGATCTCACCTCGTTGAGTTGCAATGATCATGAGAACGGTGAGGAATCAGCCCAGAACTACACGGGAGGATCTTGTCCATTATCTCAAGGCAGCTGGGACCATAGTCACCAAGAAAACAATTGATAACACACTACGCCGTGAAGGACTGAAATCCTGCAGCGCTCGCAAGGTCCCCCTGCTCAAGAAAGCACATATACATGCCCGTCTGAAGTTTGCCAATGAACATCTGAATGATTCAGAGGACAACTGGGTGAAAGTGTTGTGGTAAGATGAGACTAAAATGGAGCTCTTTGGCATCAACTCAACTCGCCGTGTTTGGAGGAGGAGGAATGCTGCCTATGACCCTAAGAACACCATCCCCACCGTCAAACATGGAGGTGGAAACATTATGCTTTTGGGGTGTTTTTCTGCTAAGGGGACAGGACAACTTCACCGCATCTAAGGGACGATGGACGGGGCCATGTACCATCAAATCTTGGGTGAGAACCTCCTTCCCTCAGCCAGGGCATTGAAAATGGGTCGTGGATGGGTATTCTAGCATGACAATGACCCAAAACACACGGCCAAGGCAACAAAGGAGTGGCTCAAGAAGAAGCACATTAAGGTCCTGGAGTGGCCAAGCCAGTCTCCAGACCTTAATCCCATAGAAAATCTGTGGAGGGAGCTGAAGGTTCGAGTTGCCAAACGTCAGCCTCGAAACCTTAATGACTTGGAGAAGATCTGCAAAGAGGAGTGGGACAAAATCCCTCCTGAGATGTGTGCAAACCTGGTGGCCAACTACAAGAAACGTCTGACCTCTGTGATTGCCAACAAGGGTTTTGCCACCAAGTACTAAGACATGTTTTGCAGAGGGGTCAAATACTTATTTCCCTCATTAAAATGCAAATCAATTTATAAAATTTTTGACATGCGTTTTTCTGGATTTTGTTATTATTCTGTCTCTCACTGTTCAAATAAACCTACCATTAAAATTATAGACTGATCATTTCTTTGTCATTGGGCAAACGTACAAAATCAGCAGGGGATCAAATACTTTTTTCCCTCACTGTATGTGTCTGTCTATGTGTCGCCGTGTCTGTGCTTTGTCTCTCTCTCAAATTTAGCAATCTTTGGAAGAACGTAATCAACCAGGTAGGGTGTTGACTTATTTTAGCCGACTCTTTGTGTTGTATTGCATTATATTTCTAAGTTTACTAGGCTTGTTTTCTCTTTCATTTGTACCTGATGATGATTGCTTGTGTTGCAATCGATACGTCGTATGCTATTATTTAAATTATTTTTTCTTTCTACTTGACTTTACCAAAAGAGCCACAGAGTAATTCCTGCAGTCACAAAAGCTCCAAATCTAGTCCAATTATAATTTAGTATTGGCCTGTACTATTGGTAAAGTGTTTTTCAAAGGTTATAGAGCGTTGAAGAGAAAAAAATGTAAGCTATTTCGTTTATAATACAGTATATATTTTGACAGATTGTCGTCTTAAACATTTTCAGCTTAAAAAAAAACTATTGTCACTAATTGTGTTTGCACTTTGGTGTGATCGTTTACTTTAATTACGTAACGCATTATTGTTTAATTTAACTCTACTTTGTTATATAAGGGCCAAATGATTTGACAGCTGGGCCCTTTGTCTACAATAGGATCATATGCCTATTTGGCGTGAATAGTGGAGCAGCTTGTGCTTGGATGCAATCAGATTGAGCAAAACCAAAGCAAAGTCTCTGCAGAATTAGTGAGGCAAGCTCTGTTGTGTCCTTGGCTTGTCGGCTATGGGCTGCCGCCCTCCGGCTGGCCAGTTGGTCCGCAGCTTGCATTCACTCGGCCAGTTTGCACACTCTGTATATGGAGAGACTCACAGCTTGAATAACAGTGCCACGGTCTCCGTAGGCTAACGATTTTTGTGTGAACGAGATTTATTTCTTGAAAGAAAAAATACAAATAAGGGCCAAGTGACAAGGTTGCATTCAGTTGCAGATTTATTGCGTATGTTGCGTTTGGAAGTAGCAGCATGTTTACGGCAATTGAATGCAAAAGGGACATTGAATGAAAATGAATATTTGAATCTCATCCTTTTTATGGAAGTGCATTTACAGTGATCGATCAACACAGCATGATTGGTGATTTTCTTGTTATCATGAGTTGCAGGGTGCCTTCTTACCTACCATCTTGTCTTTAATAGCATCTCAACTGGATAGTATTTACTCTGCCCATTTGGAGTGTGTTGTAGGTTGACAGCTGGTTGTTGGAGACATATCTAAAATCGAGTCAAGGTTTTTTTGCTGCTATTGAGGAAAGAAAGCTAGCAAGCTAGGTGGCTAAAGGTATAAACTATAAAAAAAACTCTAACTATTTTTATTTTACCAGGTAAGGCCCACTGAAATATATAGCTCTTTTGCAGAAGTGACAAATAGCCCAATAAAGTGGCTTATCAAGTGGACATTTATAGAAGCCAAATACTCTAAAAGACATGTTTCTAAATGTGGAATAAAAAAACGGAGAAAAATCTACGCGACCACAGGGAGAGCATACAAACTCCCAATATACAGGCGTCATGGTCGGGATCAAACCCACGACCTCCTATATACCAGGCGAGATAGCTAACATCTCGCCACATTGGCGCCACATCCCATCATCCTTGCTGCCTCCGCTGTTGAACGAATGGCCACTGCAATACACAGCACGGGCCCGTGCCTGGCGCCGGGTGTCCGGGCCTACTTAACGGTTGCCTGCAGGACCACCCCGGGCCTCAGTTGCTCATCGGAGCAAGAGCGCGGCTCGGCTCGGAAAGCGTCGCTCGGGGAGATGAGGCGAGAGAGCTCGAGAAGCGCTTGGATGGGGGGGGGTGACTTGTCGTCCTATGCCTGTGCCATACAGGAGCTGGTGTTCACCGCTCACACGAGCCACGTGCTGAGCCACGTGCGCCAGGCCGTGCGCTCACGCCGGGCGGCCTCCACCGTGCTGCGCGAATGCCAGCGCTCGGACGTGCCCTCCTTCCTGCTCGGCTACCTCCCCAAGGTGAGACCTCGACACTTCCACCCTTGCCTTAAGGTGGCCTGCCACGGGGGAGGCCTCAAGGTCGATACGTGTACCTCCGATTGGCACTATCGGCTACATACAGTGCGAAAGAAGTTCAACATACATACATCTATTGGCAGCCGCGTTCGAATAGGTTGAGCAGTATTCGTAGAAACATGCGGTTTTCCTGAGATTGATTATGCTGTATGCAGCAGGATTTAATACAGACTATGACTGTGTTGCTCCATTTCTGATTTATTTCTCAATCCTAAGGCATTGTGCATGATATTTAATTTTGTTAATAATTCACACTCGTTTGTTTATCCACTGCTGGTTGACAGCCTTCCCTTGCCATTTTGCTCGTCGGTATTTTTGACCATATTTCACGGGTTGACTAAATGGGAGGGCCCAGGTCCGTTTCAGACATCGCCACTGATACCAGCCATGGCCGGGAGTGAAACTCGGGTCGCCTGGCTTGTAGCGTTGTGTGTTTGCTGTTGAATCTTTGCTCCGCCCAGGTGCGTATTAGTTGGTCCAAAGTATAGATTTTTTACAAAATTCAATCTAGTCATTAATGTGTACTAAATACTCATCTCTCCTTTTCATTGCGTTGTTTATTGTGTCATTGCCTGCCTCATCCTCAAAATTGCGTACACTACATGCATCAAAATCATGCTGTGTGTACACTTAATGTGCACATCACGCATTTTAAAATTCCCCTGCTTCGGTTTAGCCAAAGGGTGAGTGACTCATCGCTTTGCCAATGCCTGCTGTGCCTACATTATTATTGCCAATGATTTGTTATTACATTTGCATACAATGGCCTACTTTATGTATTGAGGTCATTAATAACTATTTTCCAGCAGATGGCGTGCTCCCACAGCATTATCGGCTGTAAGTGGGAATTAAACGATTGAATCCAGCACGATTGCTCTCTCTACACATACACAATGGGGCTAGTCCACTCTTTCTGCTCTTTGTATCTTCCCTAGCACTGCTCCACTTAAGGGGTTCCTCCCATCGTCTCTTCAGAGAAAGAGCTATAATAGCTCAGTGGGCCTTAGCTGGTTAAAAAATATGTAATTGTTAATTTTCTCTCTTTCCCAAGTTCTTATAATAATAACCTTGCTCAATTTTAAGAAATGTGTTGAGTGCTGTTTGTTGCTCGCCTGTGATCGGAAACGTTTTAAACGATGCAATCTGCATTACTGGCTCTAGCATATGCATTTAGGAACCTACGTTACACAGAGGAGCGTGTCGCGTGGGTGTCAGTGTTGTGGCTAAATTTTTCTGCTTTCGCGCAACCTGTAACAGAGATAAGCAATTAATTTTTGGAACGGCAAACAACGTTATGAAACATTGTCTGGGTTCTTTCGCCATCCGACGGCGCTGGTGGTTGCGAACTGATGAATTACTTTTGTGACGTCGCTAACTGGTCTCGGTGGGCCATCAGCAGGGTGACCGCACGCTCCCATCGTTTGCTCCTCTCCGGAGTCGCAGATGGGACCTCTCTTTTGTCCTCCACTCATGTAGAAGAAGGGGGCGCACCGGCCGTGCGACAGGTGTCCGAATGCGACGATTCGCTGTGGTCCAGAGTTTACGTGGTAGCGAGAAGCCAGGAAGGGGTTCAGTTGGGTCGCTGATGGGGTCCATGTTGGACATGTGCTACATTGCCAGAGGTGCATGTTTTGTTCTTGGATATGCACAGCAGTGCAGAATTGTATCTGAAGCAGTCCTGGGCATCAGCTATATCAACACACACCTCGGTCAAGTACTCGTCATGTGACCCATAGTCTGCCATGGCAGTGTTAATAGGAGCTTGCTGATATTATTTGTTGATCAAATAAAATTATATATACTTAAATGCTTCTGCATTTTTTCTGCCCTGTAAAGATGCCTTTTTCTGCGTCTGTAAATACACGTTTGCCCAATTCGTTTTTCTTGGCTGCTCTGAAGTCTGCCATTCTCCAAGTATCTCCCAAGTTTTAAAACACGTTTTAAAGGAGATGCATGACTCTCCAAGTGTGTGGTAATGCTAATCTTGGTAAATAAGACCGGCACTGTGCCTTGATTAGGGACAGGTTGTCACACCTGCCTTGTGTGTCATCATGGCCGTGTGCTAAATTTGCATCAGTGTGCAAATGTTATGAGCAGCACCTGGTCTGTGCAAGGATCATGATTGCATAGGTCAATATTAAATGTTGATGTGATTAAAAGTTCAAAAGGTCGACAAAATATATTAATTGTACGTGGTTCAATGTTATCATACCACATGGCCGTAGTAATCAATCGTAATGTGCTAATGTCACAATAGTGCGGGTGCACACCGGCGATTCTAGCACATTTTGATTTGCGGGAGCGGGAAGCTCGCCAGATAACGCGGGCTTACATTGTCGGCTGTTTAGACTTCACCTTCATCAATCAGATGCACTCAAGTGAAAATAAACACACACGCCTATTAATATTATGAAGAGCCTGTTTTGAAGCCACTAATTCCAGGAAAGATGGCTGGTAATATCAACGTAGATAGCTAATCTTTATGATTTTTTCGAGTGTTTCGTGAACACCATTGCACAAAGCAGCTGGTAGGTTAAAGGAGCCGAAGCTCGCTCACTGAACGCTCTCGGCACTGCATTTTAACTTAACACGGCATAGCTCCCAAGAGCGTCATTGTTTATTGTTTGAGTTGTCTGTGTTCTCATCCCGTTTACCTTCTCATAACCCATTCAGAGTAGCCTTTATTAAATTATGTTTCTCTCATGGCTTGCTTCGGCTTGAGCAAGACACAAATGTATACACATCATAATCAATTCTGGGTTTTCGTTTCTGCTACAGAGCCAAAGGACAGATGAGCTACAGTTAGTGATATTGGTTTTTACAATTTAAATGTAATGAGATTGACTGGTAAGCTAGCCAAGGGTTCCACGACGGATTGCAGTTGCCTGCTCAGGTGTCTTTTGGAATTACTTGTCAAGCCACGTTTATGTCCCCTCTGTGTACGACCCATTTTCCTCTCGGCAGATAAACGGTGTTAAGACCACAGTCTCCCTCCCAGGTTTGTTTTCGATGCTTGGTGAGGGGGCGGGGGCATGACCTCGCAGTGTCGGCAGGTGTCGCGGCCGTGACATTAACAGACAGCGTTGTCGTCGCAGCCTCTCCCGGCAGGTGTCCGCACACCTCTGCCCGTTCGCTCGCTCTCGCATGGCTCGTGCCGTCCGGCAGGTGCTCGGCTCCTGCACCTGTTGCGGACGCCTATTTTTTTAACCGCCACCCGTAGTAACGGCGCCTCTCTAATACTAGCGGGGGCAACTGAGTGAGAGAAGCGGTCATTTTAGTTCGTGGTACCAAGGTACACGGACGGGTCACTTTGTGGCAGGGTCGGGTTTCGCAAGAGCGGCTGAAAAGGGGAGTGGAGTGCGCTCGGTTTCAGGATTGTTTATGCCTCGCTGGTGGCGTTTACGGAGTGGCCACGCGAAGCCACCCGTGGTTAGGCTCTGCGCGACCCACCGCTGCGCCAACCACAGTTGAGAGATTCCGTCTCGGCGATGGCCTGACCTGGCTTCCCCCTCACAGCTGCCGTGTGCTGCATTCACTGGAGGTTACACAGTGGGGGGTATGGGTTCAGTTTGGTTATCAATTTCCCCTAAGCAAACAATCAAAATATATTTTTAAGAAGGAGTCATTTTTCTCTGGAAATGTAACTTTAGAAAGGCACATCTCAAACCTTAATGCATGCAAATTAAAAGCGACTTGAAACACCATTAAATGTTTCTCTCATGGGATGCATCGGCTTGAGCAGGCAGCAATGTATACATAAAAATAGATGTCGGGTCTTTGTTTCGTGGATGATTGATGTATTTTTAAATATTCTTGTTTCCCTTAGCAAATCAAGTGTAGCCATAGATTACATCATGGGTAGTCAGTGAAATAATAGCAGTTTATATTTAAATGGCGATGTACGTTTTATGCTCACACCAGCTTCTCCGTGTTGTCCAACTCGTCCAGTGTGCTGCATTGTGTCCCTCACACAACACAAGGTCCCTTGGTTTCCCTGTCCAGACCGTGTAAGACGCGTGATTAAAGCTCGCGACGCAATTTTCCGAATCTCTTGCAAATCCCCCTGATGATGCAGTTTTATGATATCTAGTGCATTTTTATTGTTGACTAGCTTTACTACCTGGCTTTGCCCGAGACTTGGATTCTTTTCTTGGATTAATACACGGCCTGTGATGTCACCCGCATGCGGGAGACATCACAGATGTGACGTCACCGCTCACTTGCCGTGCAATATATATCCATTGTTGCACCCCCCCCCAAATACAAAAGTCTATTTTTATACTTTATGCATTGTGCATTGTGTACAGTCTGGAAGCTACCCACTTGCCAAATTTCAAGTTTGTTGCATGTTTGGAAGTATGCTAAACATTTCGAACAGACACATTCACAAATTTCTCTTTTTTATATATATAGATGAGTGTGGTCTGAAACGTGTAATCTCGAAAACCTACAACTGCATTTACAACCACTGATTGTGAAGTGCTCTGCAACTACACACCTGCCAGTCTTCTGTGGCAGCTGTGACCCAGTATGTTTATGATTGTTAGGCCAACGGTGAGTGCCTTTATTGCCAGACCCAAATTAGTCTGCATTGCAAATACCACGTGGTATGCAAGCAGTCATCGTGAAGTGCCAAAGTGCTGCGAGTTACTTTTCAGGAGCCAACTCTTATTTTGAAAATTTGGTCGTTCCATTTAGCACATTTCCCCTCCTTCCTGCCATGAATTGGAGCGCTCCTGTCAGTCATTTCTCTCTCATCCAACGAGACAGGGAAGATTCTTTGCAACCGCAATATACCTACGTGACTTTACCGAAAGAACCAAAGAGCATGGATCCCTGCAGTCACGAAAACTTCAAATCTAGATTGGACCGCAATACATTTAAATGTCATCGCACTGCCACTGCAGCCAGCCATGGAAAACCACTTCTCAATGTGAATGACT